AGACATTTCGTCAACTCAGTATTCGGGGACACTTAAAGAGGTAGGTCACTTACTAGACGATGTCATAGTATTTTATGTCATGCCTCTCTCTCTCTACTTCAGTTCACCGGAATATGGCAGTTAAGACCACCGACTTACTCTTCTAAAGCAAATTCGATGGAACAGAAAATCCCCGCTGACAGGACCAAATCCTCCCACTCCTGAGGTTTTGCCTCGAAACGCACTGCGCGTTTAATGGAACAATCCACGAACTGGCGGAATGCAAGTCGGGGGGTTCCACACAGCTGAGGCGGTCATGCAGCAGCTCATCGCTGGCCTTCTGCCACCACAGATCGACGTTCTGGGCTCGGTATTTGAATACAACCGAAGGCATTAAACGGAATGTGGATTTTAAAAATGCCTCATCGTTGTCTTTTCGGACATAAAATTCAGGATGGATGAGGAAGGAGACGGCCAGCTGGCCTTCCCTGATGTTCGAAACAAATACTGTACTTCAACAGCAATCACTCAAGTGACCACAAACGCATTTGCGTAAGGACGCTCAGTTGGTATGATGAGATGCGTCGTATTCGACAGAAGATTATCGAAATAAAGTGCTTTCAATGGGTGGTCAGGTTGAATAGCTGGCCGTGCAATTTAGTTAACTAGTGTATTTATGTTGCACTGGCCCGAATTTGATAAGCGCTCCCGTCTAATAAAAATATCTCTAAAGCCGTCAGACACCCTCGCGGTCCACTTGGAGTTCGAGTTGCTTACAGACCAGAGGCAACTATTATGTGCCAGTGAATGAGGCCGTTATGCCCATTGTCACGGCGGGAAGCGTCTGGAGTCGTTTATAAGATCTAGTGCGGTTGTAGGTAAAGAAATTGTATCTGTAAAACTAAAAGATTTATCTAGATGCGGGCGGCCGAACACCCAGTATCAGTGAAGCGAAATGGCACCAGTCCTCAAGTCGCGACTTCTTCGACGGGACGTGGTCATCCCTTCAAGTTTGACGAGACTAAATTTCCCCTGTGACATGACGACCGCGTGAGCTGCGTTTAGCTTGAGTCCCCCAGTCATCAGCAAGCTCAACGAGCTCTTCCCTGCATATTCGGTGCTGAAGCTTTGCCCGAGCTGAGTAATTAGCTACGAACTGTTTTCAAAGACAGTGTCACTGAGACCAACTGCACGAGTGATTATCACGCCAGTAAATGATACTGTTGACGAAATTGTGGCAACTGACGACTCGAATGCGGGCGGCAAAGCCCTCATCGCAAGAAGTAGGATCACTGATGATAAATACTAGTCGTTCATTTTGGTAGGTGTGTTCTAGTCTAGCAACTGTGTCGCGCACATACTGCAAATTTGTACGTCCATTAGCTTTATTTGGTACTGTCTGCGATAGGTAGTTTAAGACCAAGACGTTAGGCGAATAATATTCTTGCTTCAGAGTCTCCTCCTTGTCAATGGCTTGTTGGCCTCATCTTCTTGTTCGAATCGGCAATAATGCAATAGCCCTTTCGGCACCGAAAACCACAAGATCAACGCTAAAAGTCAGCTAAGGACTTCCTACCGTATGATTTTAAGCCAAAGTGTATGCCTGATATGGAGTTAAAGTGTCGCGTTAGATACGTTGGTCTATCTTGGGAGGAAAATCTTGCATGCCAATAACCGGTTAAGTTCCTGGGACAATCGCAGCCTGCGCTTCCATAATTTCCTAACGCGCGAACTGAGCGCGTGGGTTAAGCGATCAAGTGCGCATTTGCGTGTGTGTACTTTTAACCCCCATTAAACACTCGCACATTGACCAGGTTCTCTCGTTGGCCAACTTGGGTATCACATAGTTACAAAATGGATTAATGGGGACAACCTCAGCTATCGACAGCGCGACCGTCAGAATAGCACTACCGCCAAGGATAAGGGAGACTGGAATGGCCATTTCTGGCTTATTAGCCGTCGTCAGTCAGTCATGCCAAACTCCGAGGTGTGCAACACCTGGGGTCCGATCCTGGTTAGAAGTCCCACACTTTAGCCGCTGAACCAAGGACTCATTGTGCTATCGGTTACGATCTAGAATATACAATGGTTGAGGAACGCTCGTCGACCGTCGTTAATTACAATGTCCATCATGCGTCCCACAGCAAGGTGGTGGCAGAACGGCTACTTGCGTATGCACTAGTTTATAATAAGGTGGGATCGGGCGCAACGACTGACAAACACCCCGTCTAGACGTGTCACACACTACCTGCTGACCGAACAATGGACCAGGCTTTTCACGGAATAAAGAGCTGGTTTGGGTCTCACCTGAGTAGGAGTGGCACAGAGCCCCCACCAGGAGGGAACTATTGAGCCTGGTTCTCGGTCATCGGGCCGGTCAGCCCACATACACACACAGTACTGACCAGCAGGCTCGAGGTGTCTCGTCAGTTGGCAGTCTTCCGAGCCACGACTTTTAGCGCGTCTTGATAACGTTAAGACACGTCGGAGTCACTATAGTAAGAAGCCAGCTGATGTGCCGTGGAGGCGAGTCCCCCAGAGTTGGCCTCATTCCCTCTCATCTTTCCCATGAACCAGCTGACTGCCCCAACCTGCCAGACTTCTGAGGCTGGGATTAGGAGCAGTGGTTGACAGAGTTGAACAGCCCGTCTACGTGTGCCACACACGATCAGTCGGGTGGCAGGTTGCAGCCTTCGCCACTTAGTCGGTCGTTCGTGCCTCGGTTAATGTTGGCAGTAGCCTAGCAGATCGAAGCGGAAACGAACAATGACACAGGCGACGATAGCGACACACCGAAATTCAGTGTAAAAAATCTCCGGACAAAGGACATGACTACTAGTTTAGTTTCCTTGGCAATGGACAAAGGGTTAACCTGTCGTTCGTTCGAATGTTGTTGGCCAAATCATAAAAATCGATAGGCAGCGGAATCGAGATGTAACTTTTGAGTACTCTTAAATCCTGAAGCACATGGCGTAGTGGACAACGCGGCTTGTTTCGTGTGCAAAGGCCAGTGGTCTGATTTTTTATGTAAATCTGACGCAGACGTACTGTGAGCATAATTTAAGCATAATGTTCACCTTCTCACATTGCTGACTTTCGGACGTTGGGGCGCCTCTAGAGTAAGTCATCTCAGTCTGAGTGCTGGTGTTCCCATACCGCCGTCCGATGTCCTTGCGAAGTTTCTTCTCTGGCCAAAATAATACGAACTTCAAAGTCATCTCTCTAAACTGGCGTTCTCCTCCAACGGGATTGGAGGACGCGAAGCAAAGCATCCGCACCAAGTGGCTTGCATGCGCGGATAGTAGCATGCTCTAACTGTTCCACAGTTTTGGATCCGTCCTCGTCAGCCCTGTAAGGAAAGGATCACGTAGAACTAGACTCAGGGCCCTAGGCAAACATCCCCGTGTCCGTCTCGGACAATCCATCGGTTATGGAAGACTTCTTTGGATAATCGCGCCCCCAATGAGCAACACGTTGAGTGACCCCGTTTTCTCGGAACCAAACGCGATTGCGTACTCTTAGATGGATAACGAGAATATAGTCCGTATGCAATTAACAATAGGACCATAAAGTAGTCGTGGAAGTTTCGTTACAGCCCATTCTTGATCAAATTTGTCAAATTGGACATTTTTTTCTGAGATACCCTTTCTTAACGAAAGAATTAAGGACCACTGTATACACCAGTTTATCACAGACACTCAGACGTCATGCTCCATTACGTGAGTATGTAACTTGTCTCACACGGAACTCTTTCAGCAGCTTATCAGATAGAGCTGAAGCCCACCGGCCTTACAAATAAATTTACCAAACAGAAGAAAGCTCCTTATTCTGGAATTATGTTCCAAAAATTGATACCCCCTTAACCCTGAGCGGCGACGCGTACACCGGATGCAGGAAGAATGCCGCTGCATTGTTGCGGCCGCCTTCCGGGCGGCAAGGTACTTAATCGCAGCATGTATATATCGTCATGGACGAGTAGAAACGGAAAATGCCGGTCCCAAACTTATCGTAGGACACAATGGACCCGCATTAACGCATATTTCACCCAAACTTCGTTCTTAGGCAAGATTAAAAATCCTACACTGCGTCCCCCGTAGATCTGTCGACTAGGAAGGGAATCGGTCCGGAGGACTTATATAATAAAGGTTTTCGTTCTTAAAAACCTCTGCCCACTTTCACTTAAGTTTTCTGGAATGCGTATTTCGTGTATGTATGCTATACATTATAAAAGTTCCCCTGTTTCTTCGGCAATACGTCCACGACGACAACGTTATGTGTTTAACTCAGAAGCAAAGACTTGATATGGAAGTCATGTATTCTTTCTCCGCGACAAAAAGCGTTCAAGAGCAATTGCATAATAAAAGCGAAGAACTCATGTTTCTGCTATAAAACGACAAAAGGAAAATAAAGTCACATCTCAAATAAAAGACGTTAAGACTACAGGTAGGAGTGGGGGAGATCGCAGTGACAATTTTACAAACAATAAGATTGTCATGATCAGCAGTCGTAGAATAGGTTTTGACATAAAAAGGAGTACCTAAGGAGCGGTTCATCGGGATGTAGCATGAAGTACTGCCGAAGGTACATGAAATAAAAAAGAATGAGACTCCAGAAATAGGGAACTAAGAATTCAGAGGCCCCAACTGAGATGCCGGCGCGTAGGAGACTGTCACAACCGGAAAAACCACTGCTTCATAATAGAACTGAGTAAACTGGGGTACTCCAGTCTCAACAACTAATCAGTAAGTGCGAGTTGCAGCAGCTGCAATGGCGGCAGCTCCTTTGCCACTGCCATCTTCAGACAATCTCAAACGGAACTAAAAATAAAAGACAAATCAAAACTAATGTTATAATTAAAAATTACTTTGTTGAGAATTACCCATCTCACGGTAAAAAAAACGCATTGGGAGACATTATATGAAACATATAAGCTGACCGGAGCAGAGCTGACTAGTTTATGAAAACATGAATTCTAGGTAAGAATGTATCGCTTTACGTTTCTGACCAAAAGGACTTTCCTAAAGACTTCGTTTTATGACAGAAGCAATAGCATACCGCTCGGTAGACTGGCCTTTAAGTTAGGTAGTCACTCCCATCTCGTTGTTAATTAAACAGCATTTACTTTATAATCAATTACTAGACATGGCTGCTTTACAACCCGTCTTCTTTAAATTGCAAAATTAAGCAATTGAATTTTAGTGACCTGTCCCATTCCTCTGATTATTACTTCTGGCACAGGAGGTATGGCCATACCACCAAAGTTGCGTTGATAAATTAAGTGTCTGATTTCGCAACCATTGTTGCGTACCAAACGGCCGTAGGAGACGGACTGCAAACTATTATGCCAAAAGTGTATTCGGACATATTTCCTAAATAGGCAGGCAGGCTATGCCAATTTATATACGGAAGGAGTTTTTCTAGATAAATCTACCTCAGGAAAGAGCTGACGTGACTAAACACTTGGCCAGTAAACTAGCCGAAAGGCGACAGAATTTAACCAATCAGTTAAAAGCAGCAAAGCAGACTGCGAATAAAAAGCAGGCATCAGACAAAACCTAAGCTGCGGCCGCAGCATGTGAAGTCAACGTTGTCTATGCGTTTTCCAGAGACTTTCACAAAGCCGGAATTCCGGCATTGGCTTGATAAAGATGTGACAACTTTCGTAAAATGTCTACGCACGCAAGGTTATAAGTGACACTTATGATATGAGCGTCAATTGGGATAAGCTCTTAATTTTTTACAAGGTAAAAATAGGAAAGTCATTTGATAGGCCGATGGCATCTAAAGTTCCGTATACCCGTTTATACTAAACTGAAGTTAGTTTTATATTCAAAAAGCTACAGGCGATTGCCGATACTTCTGGTTGCAGAAATTCTTTGATAGTTTCATCAGAATCTGCCTATATATCATGCGCCGCTGTGCGGCTGCTGGTTGGGCTCGAGAGAGAGTCCATAAGGCACAACGGAACGAGTGAGTTCCGTATGAACGATCGGTGAGCGCCCCCCCTAACATTGTATATTCCCGATCGAAAACCGACAAGGCAACGGGCTCGTGGCCCGGTGAGTAGAGGCGTTGACTTCTAAACCAACAGGTCGCGAGTTCGAGGCTCGGGTGTTCCACACTTCGGGCTTGGGTATGGCTGGCTGACGACGGCTAATAAGCCAGAAATGGCCATTCCAGTCTCCCTTGTCTTTGTCGGTAATACCATTCATCAGAATCTACATGCTGGGAAAATGAGACTGATTTTTCATAAACCGCAAGCCAAAGGCCCTTACCTGGGTTCCTTCTGGTCTGAGTTTGTCGATAATGTCAGTCATATGTTCACGAAACTTGATGTGGAATTTGTACAGCGAGCCGTCTATGCCAATGGTCACATGTTTTCGTCCCAGTTTATGTAGAAGCGCGGCAATACCTAGTGATGAAATGAGGGAAGTGAGGTAACAACTGGGAAACACTGAATGTGGTCAGCACTTTTTGTACGGTTTCTGTACATCAATAAACATTCAGTAAGAACTCAAAAAGATGAATAAATGATTTTCAAGCAGACTCAAGTTGACGGCTGCGGCACTTCTAATGTGCAGTCTAGACTCGAATAAACTGGTATTCAAGGCTGCCGCAGTCTAGAGTGGAGAGACGGGAGTTTTAAGGAAAACAGTAAGTGAATGGTAATCAGATGGCAGACGTCAAACACGGGCGTTCCAACCTAGTTACGGTACTGTTACTGTGACTGGAAACTGTCATGCCATTATTATAAACCAGAACAGCCAGCTGCAAAACCGCTTTTCAAAATATGTAAAAAAGAGATCAGAAGAGTAGCGTAAACTTCCGCAAAATACAAAGCCTGGTGTTATCGACCCAATTAGCACTCGACCGAGAGATTTTCACTAAACTGTCAATCAGCAATTAATGGTATATGCTAAGTTTAGGTGCAATGAGCTTTGCTGCATCCTCTGAATAAAGTTGGACAGAAGAAACACCTCCAATAACAAGCACATCTTTGTAATTCCGGTATTTTCCACTAGGTCATGATTGCCCCGTTCAGAAACTGCATTCTCCAGGGACCAGCATTATTTCCTCGTATTTCCGCAGTCTGATTATGAATGGCACACCCGCAGCCTGCACTGGCTTACTGTTGATATGACAAATATTTTAACCGTACCCCCGTACGATCTGTGTGGATAATATGATAGCTCAGTGTTCAGCGCAAACAAGACGCACGGGCAGCGTAAGGAGAGTCGCACAAGACGAACTTCACAAAGAAAACGGCTGTCCAAAAAAGGACATTAGTAATGGCCCCGTTAGTCAACAGAAGAGAAAAGCGTCATTCATTTATGCCAACTATTATTTGAGGTGAGAATCTGGACCTTTTCCAGAGCGGGCTGGGTGCGTGGTTAAAAGCAGCAACCATACGAAAAAAAACCCTTGGAAATGCTGTACCGTTTACTCTAATATTAACGTTTTTGACCAATGACAACGGACCATTGCTTTTCCAAAAAATTCAAGACAAAGACAAACAAATAACACCAATGCGCACCGTATACCACAGAGTCTATAAGTGTCCAAAACCACGTCCTTTCCGGACACAGGAGATGGACGTAACCTTCCAAGTAAATGATTAAGTTCAAGCGAAAACAGGGACCAGTGGCAAAGCTTTAGAGTTACCTGTTCCCGCAAGGTACGCTGCGCGCCGGGCTACAACTTCGCAGACGTAGCGAACCACACGGTCATCAATGGGCTCCACTATTGGGACGTTTAAGTCTTCCGTCAGCATATAGTGGGTACTGTAGAACAGATGTGGTGGGTCCCTGTAAAGGAAACAGAATACTTCGTTTCTTAGCAAAGAAATGAGCATTGGGAATGTTTTGTTAAAGTGAACTTTTCAGTTAAAATTCTGCTGTTCTGTAAAAGTGCAGTATTCATAGAAGTGAATACTGAGATAAAACAAATCGCAAGTTAGGGGTGGACATTACTTTTGCTACACAATTCGTGATGTGGGCGTCCGTGAAATGCATTAAGCCATCCAAAAGAGTTTTGTGGGCCCATTTGTAAATTTCCATCATTTCTATGTTCGAATGACCATGTCGCAATGGGCTGGTCCTTTGCGTGAAACGACAAAGTGGGATACACTGGCTAATCACTTTCAAAAATCTGATGGCGTAATGGCGAAGAAACAATTATTTGTGTCAAGGAGGGATTGCGTTTCGTCTTTGTTATGTATTGCCCCAACGTCCAAACGTGGAAATGGTGTACGGTTGCTCGGGATTTTCAAAATTACAGGGATGTCTGATTTTACAAGCAAAAATCATCTATGAAACCGCTAAATCAGTGTTGGAAATGAATGTCATAATTCTATACGGTTAACAAGGTAATGCAAACCAACGTCTAATATACCTCCATTTTAACAAAAAAAACATGATTTGTTAAGCAGAAGCTTACCTTTCGGTCTCAGAAATATATTTAGTCGGGAACGATTGGGCGGCTTTGAGAGAATCTGGCAAGTCGCCTCTAAAAAGTAGTTTCTGGTCCACGAGATCAAGGATAATCAAACGGACCAGCTCTCCAAGGTACATTCCAGAAACCATTTTTTCGAAGCTAAAGGAAGAAACATGCCATGAGAAACAAAAGGTTATTACGTGACCTACATTTGCTTTCCGGGATGAAGACTGTCCTTGTCAATGAGTTTGTCGTAGTGAGTCAGGTAAGGATCTAGACTGCCTTCTTCACCAAAGGCACCCCATTCCATGTTAATTATGACGTTTTCATCTGTTACTGGTGGACTATTCCTCGAGGCCAGTATATCATGCATAAAGGGAACATTTTCGGACTTTTCGATGTAGGCAGCGTTTGTCCCAGTTCCTATAAATCATTGAATAATGCCAAGTTATGTATAAGATACATAAAAACATATGGCACACAAGTTAATCATATATATTAGTAATAACTGTCCAGGAAAACTGACCAACAATTAGGCCAATGGCACATTTTCGATCTTCGAGCGCGCATGATGCCAATGTGCCGACTGTATCGTTCACGACTGCCACGCATTGAATTTTCAGGCCCTACAATTTTTAAAAACAGTTACAGAACGATGAGCATGCAAATATACTACGCAGATTAAGTTAGGGCTCAAATAAAATTCACCAGTGTTCTGAGTGGTTAAAACATGTCACTTTTAAATCGCCGAAACAAACCAAAGATACAAAGACTTTTACAGCAGTGAGCAAAATCGAGTCTTAAAGGCTTAATTGATATTGTTTGTATTCCTAATATTAATGTTAACTAATAACAGAAGAAAGCATTGAGCAAATGTTTTGTAAAGTGGACGCAGGTCTGTGCATTTACGGTTTGTCATTACGACACACAACGAATGTGTTCGGAAATGTCGTACAGATAATAAAATTCAAATGATAGCATGGATGTGCGAATCGTCATTAAGGTGGTCGACAAAGGTCCGAATAATCTACAGCCAATGCTAGTGTGGTACGATCTCGGAAAAGTATGAATGAATTTATGTCAAGTGAAGCCCTCACAAGCCAACTACTGTTTGCTTACCGTTTTATCAATTGCGTTTTGGAGAAGGCGAGCAACGTCCTTCCCTACGACATCACGGGCGTCGAAGCCCTTTGTCCAACGCACGAGGATCGCTTTGTTTAATCCGTGTTGTTCGCAAGGGAAGGAAAATGTGAAACCCAGTTTCATTTCTTTGTCAGCAATACCAAAACGCGCCAGGAAGCTCTGGAGAGTGGTAGCTATGTACTCAAAAAGCTGAAACACCACAAAGTTTAAGTATTTAAAACTATACCTCTTCCCCTGTGCCAGTCATCTTTTCGTGTGGTATTGCATACGTTCTTTCCTCGATTTTTGGATGCTCATCCGCAGCAAGCGTCACGAGAATAACACGATAATTAGTCCCTCCCAAATCTAGAGCCAAATACTGACCGGTCTCTGAGAAAATAGATAAGACCATTTCTTACCGGTTCCATTGGGAAGTTTAGTAACAAATGAAGGGAACATTTTTATGGAAGCCTTGTCTCGAGTTCCCATGCTAAGACCACGCAGCATTGCGTCGTTTATTTTCCCCATGACTTTGACATAATCATCTTGTTCTAACTCGAAACACGCCAGTCTCTCCTTCACCTTTTGAAAAATAGCATCGTCCGATAGACCGTCCATCACCCCGACTAGTTTAACAAACAATTATGACGGAAGCGGCGGCTTAGGCTAAAGAAATGGAATGTAAATAGCACATACAAACAATAGGGTATGACACCGGACATAGGTTTTAAGGATAAATAGACATACGTTGGCATTCACAGTTTTTCAGTATAAGAACAAATGTAAACAGATATCACACTTTACAAGAAAGGCATCTATTCGTTTATGGAATGGAAACACTTAGTATGGACAAATGTCGGCGACCTTCAGTGGGTTAGATTTCGATGTGTGATAGAAAAAAAAACAGTTTCTGATATGCTATGACCGGTCGCTTGAGATAGAAAAAGCAGTCCAGATTCATACAAAAGTATATGCTTCTGGTGTCTAGCCTGATATCTACAGAAAACTCATTACAGACAGTTGAGATATTACATGAACTATTAGCGAACCGATAGTTTGTACTCGATCTTTAAATGGGAAACGTTTGCCAATCCTAGAATCTCGGCTTAAAACAAAAAACTTTTCTTTAAGTCCATTGTCGCGTCAAAAAACCTAACCAATTCCGATACTGAATTCCCTGTTAAAAGGATGACACTAAGAAGGTGGAATTATTTGGCGCATTCTTTGCAAAACACCTTGCTGCAGACTTTGAGCGCTTTCCTTTCTTTCCTCCGCTTTCAGACAGGACACTTAGTACACTCTGTCTCCATAAACCTAATTGGGAAACAAGTATGTTGTTTAAAAAACTCAAACTGCTCTGGAACGGACGGTATTATAAACTCGATTATTAAACTGGCATCAGAACTTACTAGATTACTTACTCAACTACTCTCAGCCTATATTTAGGACGGATTTTCCCTGAAAACATGGAAGATCTCAATTATCCTTTCAGCCTTCAAGCTTGGATGTATATCCGATGTTAAGAAATATGGGGACGTGGATAAAACCCCGTCTCTAGCAAAGTTTCATTAAAATATAATTTTAAGCGAAATTCTTGATTTCTGTCAAGGTAATTAGCTTCTGAGCTCCAGTCAGTACGCACTTTTATCTTAAAATCCTGCAAAAATTGTCATTTAACCTTTCTTTATCTAAGTACTTGTTTTGTCGTGAGCATCAGCCAGTTATAACTACTCAGACTGGCTTTCAAAAAGATGCCACTTAGACGTATTTTGGTATAATTTGAAGCGCTCGGCATATGGTCTCCTCCATTCGACTCCCCGGGGTCTTTCTTACACACTCGTTATCAGAAAGTCACGATTGTGGGAGTCGCCGGACTTCTCACCCGATCACGAGTTGCGTACTCCATGGCAGGGTTCTGAGTCTGCTAGTCTTCCTTCTGCACGCCAGTGACATTTTTAGGAGTGCCCACACTGCCAAAAACAAGAAGCAGCCAATCACTGGAGGCCACGTGCGCTTTCTCTAGCGCGTCCTCAGCAGGATCGTGGCGCCCCACCATTGGCTGCTGCCCTTTAGCCTGTTCGATCCGTGTATGTGAGCAGTCGATCAGCACATCTAGAGTTTTCTTCTCGAAGTTCATCGGACTGAACGCAAGCGAACTCCAGTACAATGTTTTAAATACGCGTTTTTTCAAGTTAGACTTTACTTGCAGTTTCCTGACAGACATTTTGTGGTCGGTCGTGTTCTCCTTCTCTGCCGCGCTGGTAATGGGGACAAGAGTCGGTGTGTAACAACCGGCCGCGTCACAAAAATCTGGTGACGCAGTTTTCAACTACAATGGCTGACGAGTACAGCGAATAAGGTCAGCACAGGTCAATAATTTTTAGGGTAACAGGCAAGGCCTTCGAAAAACCTATTAATTTAGTTACCTGTAATATAGAATATTAATTAAACATGTCAGTAGCATACACATTTTGCAGAATATTTTTTTAGAGAATGTGGGACTGAAACATGAGAACCCACTGTTATAGACCCTACTGATAAAATAAGGTAACACTCATCCGCATTAACGGTAAGTGCATGCAAGGATTTGGTCTGGTACGACAGAGCTCTTCTGTCCAGACAAGCGGTATTATCCCGCAAATATGCCTCTAGTCTTTGTTTTAATGTCTCCATAGCATCCACCATTATCGTGTCTTCGAGCACCGACGACTCGCTGTGAAAATGAGTGTCCGCGACAGTCCAGGCGGCATCGGGATCGCCGACGTTTAGGAGAATTTCCAATTAGGTTGGTTGCTGTGACCAGGTCGAAGAAATCACCCGGGTGAGTGGCACAGTCCTGGCTCCTCAAAAACCGGTACGTCTGAGTGAGATCTCCTCGGATCTGCCAGTAGTGAAGAGAAAATATGTTAAGCTTATCAAGTCTGCAGCTGTAGGGCAAAGTTTTGTGGCGTTTTACAATTTTGGTCATCTCCTCTGATCTCTTTCCAATAACTTGAAGTCTTTTTAGAGCCAGGGCGCCAGGCTTGGATTCCATATTCCACTTGCGAACCGAATAAGCGCTCCGTATAATTGTCCAACTGACTCTTTGTCTATATCTATGGAAGTTCGTTTATTGGCAAAGAGAACACCGATTTCCCTTTCGGCTCCCCTCACGCAATGAGGGAATGACTCAAGAGACGACAAAATATTGATCCCAAGGTCTTTTGTTCGGTCACATTTGAAAGGCACCTTCCGCCAAGTAGGTATTAGTGGCCCTCTCCATCAGCTCTTCCATTCGTTTTGAATTGCAGTGTGGCAAACTTCTCAAAGTCGAACTTTATCAGCCATTTGTCAAATCATTCGCATAGACGGCTCAGTTCTTTTACAGGCTCCGTTTATCGTTTTCCCCTCTGATCGCTCGCCATAACTTGATGTTATCGGCAAACACGATCCCATCGCAGTTCAGTCCATTCATACTGGTCCGAGCACAGTTCCCTGGGGAACTCCACTCACAACGGCACTGGCGCTGATTTTGCACTGTCGATACACAATCTGCGATCGGCAGATCAAGAAGTCTCTACCCAGTTAAGCATGTTCCCCTTTATCCCGACTCTCGGACTTCGAAGAGTATCCGGCGTTGTGGAAAACTATCCAAGACTTTGTTGGAATCGATGTAAACGACATCGACACTCGTTCCTTCGTCCAACGCTCGGGACCACTGTTCTACTGAATAACGCACGTTAGATAAGCGGGAGCTATGTTTGGAACTATAGAAGAAATCATTTTCTTCAAGGAAGTTCATAATTGCTTTTTTGACTAATCTCTCCAAAACTTTCAAAAAATGCATGTTAGGCTCACCGACCGATAATTGTTTGTACTTGTCATAAGTCCACCATTCCAATCAGAGGGTAGAACGCCCTGGTCAAAGGATGACTGGAAAGCATGCAAAAGCGGTCTGGCGAGTTCGTAGGCCAGCTCTTTCAGAAGTTTTTCCGGCTTTCGGTCCGGACCCGGAGACCTACACTCCTTGAGCACTACAATTTTCCTCCTCACATCTTCTGTGAGGTCTATGCTTTCCATTATTCCGTCAATTGTTCCAGTAGGCAATCCAGCTGCGTCAAAGTCCACTTCATTGGTGGGAACATATGCGAAAAGCCGACTTAGGGGTTCTGCCTTAGCTTCATTTTCGATAATATCCTCATCGTTTTCTCCTTTCAACACTGAGACCGTCTCTTTGATCTTTAACCTGCCGTTGATGTAGCTAAAGAGTACTTTTGGTTTATCGACGGCCCGTTCCATGACCCGCGATTTGAGCCTTTCCGCGATCGGTGGATATTCGACTTTGCCTCGTTCCACTTACGGCAAAACTGCTCGCAATGCGAAGGTTGTTTTGTTGAAACATACTTTCTCCAGAAATTATTCTTCCGGTTTACCGATTTCTTTATATCCCACGCTAAACAGGTAAGACGATGTGTCTTTTGGACTCTTTTTATCGGACAGTTTCGATGAATGATATCGGTAACAACTCCTTTGTGAGTGTTCCCATCAACATCTGGATGTCCGGTAAGAAAGTCAAGCCAGTTTGCCATCGATAATTCACTTCTTTTAGCTGCAAATTTTTTTGTCAGAAATTCAGCCTAGGCTCAGTCGTATACACTTGTTGACTGTACAGGCGCGCAACTCAGTCTTAAAGGCAAGGGAAGCGTTGTATTTACGTGGATATTCTTAAGCAATTAACGCTTGTTTGTTTACTTAAGTCGATTTTAAAATCGTCTTTCACTACAGTGTAGAATTTTTTCCCATTCTTGCTTGACAATCTGGCAAAATAGTCGTATTTTGTAAAAAAAAACTTTCGTACTGACTCCGTTCCAGACTACCTCTTTCTAGTTTTAGTAGTTAAATAACAGTAGTACTTGCTATTCAGTGCGCATTTCTGTACGTTTGCAACGTTTTGATCCTTCTACTGCAACGAAAAACATTCTTTCCTGTAATGCCCCGCAGAGCACGTGCTAAAGGACGAAAGCTTGCGGCCTCCCCCCGTCTCTGGGTGCTAGAATCGTGACTGAAGACATGGCAGGTGCCAGCAGATGTTCTTCGCCTTCTGCAGATAAGATTAACTCACAAATCCCCTTAGTATATGTAGAACCTCTTGACCCTTCAATCGTTAAAAATGCGTTTCTGCTAGTCGAAGCAGGCCATCAGCCGACGGAATAGTCGATCAGTTGATAAATGGCGACACAAACAACACTTCTGAAAAAGTAATTGAACAAGCTTCTAAACTTATTGGAG